GAGACAGAAAAGAGGATAATTCTGTGAACTGTAAAATAGATTTTACTGCAGCTCTGATTTTTAATGCATGAACTTTCACCTCTATCATCTGTCTATTTGTCTGTATGTCAGTTCTTAACTGTCTTGTCTATTAATCTGTCTGTCTGTCTCAGGATTATGGCAAGCTGGTCGGATTACTAATCACCCACTTTTGAACATGTTCAAGTATTTAACAGTGTCTAAATTGCTGTTCTTAAACTTAAAACGCAGAAAACAGCGGCGAAAATCCCTTCTGAACGCTGTATTTAATGCTGTCTTCATGGTGTTGTAAAAAATGTTTTTTTCTGGTCATTGAACGCTGCATTGAGGCAACCCCGGCTTTCCACAGGAGCCGTCAGCAGCACGTTACTGCAGCAGCACGTCATAGGCGCTGATAGGAACCGCTGTGGTCAACAGAACCTTTTCCACTGGAGCCGTCAGCAGCGGGAGTCGGCCGCGTCTCAGGAGCAGCATGTCGCGGCCTTTACGCGCCGGTTCTATTTTCTACGCGCAACGCCTCTGAAACGGGTCAAGTTCGACATTTTTGGGGAAGGAAAGACAGGAAATCGGACGCGGAAATGGAGAGAAGCTCCCGAGATTTTCAGAATAAAGAACGTACTGCCTTCCAGTTGCTTTACTTTTAAAAAAAGTTCCTAACTGCGGCCCCGTGAGAAGTTATCACATAGCTAGTGGTCTCCTTTGTTTTTCAGGTCCGTATTGGCGATTATAAAACGGACAGAACATAAAACACAAACCATGTTGTAGTTTTCTCCTGCGTGTTGTTGTGTTTACTGATGAAGTCACTCGTGTGACTTCGTGCTCTGTCGGTGACAGCTGCTCCCCTGCTGCTTCGCGTCTCGTGGGAAGGGCCAAGCAGCAGCTTACGCGAGCAAGACGTGCTGCTGCAGTAACGTGCTGCTGACGGCTCCTGTGGAAACCCGGGGTGACGCGTCCTCAGAACCGTGCAAAAGACTTTACTTTTGACAACAGAAAACACCGCTTTTTACGGCGTTCTGTGACTTTTCTGATGGCATAAAAGACGCCATTTTATTTTTGATTGTGCAAGCCGTTCCTAAAGAAAGTATTACCTCACAATAAAAGAGATGTATTGAGTTTGCGTCCTCAACATGTCATTTTATAGGTTAACCTATAACCTTCCTTTAGCTGCGCTGAGCAATGTCTAGCTCAGATGTTCAGATGGGAATCTTTTCTTGGGTGATTTAGCTACATCTGCAATGTGCATAACGAATAAGATGTCAGATCGTCTGCATGCATCGGGGTAATTTTTTCTATTCTTTCTCTGTCAAAATTAACGGTCAAATACGGGAACTGTCCGGTCAACACAACACAAACCCTGCTCTTGACTGTTTCGTTTTCTTGTGAAAATTGTTGGAAAGAGATAAAATTTAACTTGATTACCACCAGAGCCAGTGCGCCGTTATCTCCGTGACTGTAAACGAGGGAAAAACAAATTGATCGGATCCTGCACGTCTTTTAACACATTGGTCAGGATTGACGCAGTTTGTTTTCATTTAGTTGGTTAAAAAAAAGTCGGGTTCGGGTCGGGCCAGAGAATCCTGAAAACCTTTTCGGACCGGGTCGGGCTGGGGCTTCACCCCCTCGGGCCGGGCCGGACACGGGCTCAGATTTTAGGCCCGTGCAGGTAGGGATGGGTACCTTTGACATTTGAATCGATCCGGTACTAATTCCCGGTACCTACGAGTCGATACCGGTACTTAACGGTACCAATTTTCGATACTTTTGAGTGTTTATTATTTTAATTCTCTTTTATAATTAAATATATATTTTTCTCAATATATAACCATATTTGATAAATATCACAATAAATAACATACAAGTTTGTATTTTAACATCGTCCTTGTAGTTTTATAAGCTGATAATTAAACTGAAGCAAACATCTTTACTGTGAACTAAATTTACTGTGTATCTTCATTCCTTTTGCCGTCCTTTTTCATTTGATTTTTCCTACTGGGAAGTTAGAATTTCCGGGGAGAAAACGAACGCACCATTAGCTGGTAACAACGGTGGCAATGGAAGCTAACATATCAAGCTAACGTTATCTTTAACAGTTTATTTAGCTGCTGGAGCAGATTAAAACGATGATGCCTCAAACTTAGATCGTTGTCGCTGGTTTTACCTTCACCCATTCACCCGTCGCATTTAGTAAAGTAAAGCCAAACTTTAGAGCGCGTTCATGTTCTTCTAGTCGGAAATTCGGAGTTCCGAGGAGAAAGCGAACGCACCATTAGCGAAACAGAAGCTAACAAATCAAGGTAACGTTATCTTAAACATTTTATTTACCTACTGGAGCAGATTAAGATGAGGATGTCTCACTTAGATCGTTGTCTGTCGCTAGTTTCATCACCCAGTTACCCATCACATTTAGTGAAGTGGACCCAAGCTTTAGCGTGCGTTCTTTCTACCATGCTTGCTCTGTTTACAACGGGCTCGCAGGGACCGGCGACATAACGCTCTTGCGCATGCGCAACTGTCTTGGCAGTACCGAAACGAGGCACCGTTTGAAATGACGTGAATCGGTGTTCGGTCGGTACTATGGAATTCGGTCGGTACCTTAAAAAGTACCGAATTCGGTACTCATCCCTACGTGCAGGGCTCTAGTTCTGATTGGTCACCCATAAACTAAACATTTATTATGGCAGATTAAAGATACTGGGAGTGGAAATGTGGAAATGAGTTGGAACTGATTTTTCTGATTTGGAAACTAAAGGCAAGGACCTTTTGTCGTGATCTGTGCTGCATTACCATCTCTGCTGAGTGTTGTTTACAGGTGGGTGTGTCTGGAGAGCCCAGCTGCGCCAAATCAGCTCATCAGCGATCAGGGGATTTAAGGAGCAGCAGGACATCTCACCAGTGCCAGATGATACTCCGTCTTGGGTAGTTTCTAGCCCTCTTTTTTGACCTTAAAACAATTTTAGAATTTGTTTGTTTGTCTGTTCCTGCCCTTCTGGCATTTAACCTGCTCTGCCCTCCTGATCCCTCCAGGTTCCAGTCATCTGTTTATCTCCACTCTCTGCCATATCTCCGGAACCATCAACAACATTCCAGTCCTGCCGTTTGCCCCTGATCGCCAGCTCTCCGTCACCCACCTATCTACCTGCAGCTCCTCGGTCTCCCCATCCAGCCAGGTCTGACTAAACCCCCCTCAATATACCCGGATCTTCCAGGAAACAGTAAGCCTTTTTATTTCTCCATCATCGTCTCACGTTGCTCCACACTCTGACCTCTCTTCCTCTCTCAAACCCCCACGGATCCCTCTAGTCCTGCAGAAGCTTCGTCTACCTCTCCCATTCATAATAACTCATTTAAACTTACCTTCTGTCTCTCGGTGGTGATTCTTCATGTCGTGGGTCAAGAAATTAACCTCAAACATGACACCTTTAGTTTTTTGTAAAATATGCAACAATAAAAATAACTAAAATACATTTGAAAAAGTTAGCAATCAATGAGAAGAATCACATTTGAAATTTGTATTCCAAATAAGTTCAAGGTAATTCTAATGACATCAGGATAATGTACACTGGTAATATGATGTGTGTGAGGGACAATTTTACTGATCTTTAGGGAATACAACTTAGGTTTGTGATAAATTAGAAAATTTGCTTGTTTTTATTTTACCTAAAATGAGCTGCTAAATATCAGCAGTTTTCTTGCCCTGATCGTGTTTTGTTGTGTTGAAAAGCAAAAAAAAAAAAAAAAAAACCTTTTGTGCTGGAGCAGGGAAACAATTAAAACATGATGGATATGGAATATAGAAGACCAGGGTCAGAAAGCTGGTGTAAAAAAAATTACTAGTGGTACAAAATGACAGGGCCAATTTTTGGTCCCTGTCCACCCCTGGTTGTGGTACAAATGAAGTGAAGGATAGTAAGATGATGTGATCTGTGAGGAGAATATTTGGATTACTGTGTGTACTTGTACAAAGTACTGGCTTTTGATTAGATTTCTGTTCATTTTTTTTAGTGAATATCGAAGAGTTTTCCAAGAAGACAAAACCAGCATCAAGAGGAAGAGAAGCACATCAGGCTGGAAACAGGCAATGATTTAAGCCTAATTTTTACTTCTTTGTCTGCATTGGTTCGGATAGACGCAACGTTAGAACCCTGCACGGGCCTAAAATCTGAGCCCGTGTCCGGCCTGGCCCGAGGGGGTGGAGCCCAAGCCCGACCCGGCCCGAAAAGGTTTTCAGGATTCTCTGACCCGACCAGAGCCTGAGCCCGACTTTTTTTTTAACCAACTAAATGAAAACAAAGTGCGTCAATCCTGACCAATGTGTTAAAAGACGTGCAGGATCCGATCAATTTGTTTTTCCCTCATTTACCGTCACGGAGATGACGGCGCACTGGCTCTGGTGGTAATCAAGTTAAATTATATCTCTTTGCAACAATTTTCACAAGAAAACAAAACTGTTAAAAGCAGGGCTTGTGTTATGTTGACCGGATAGTTCCTGTATTTGACCGTTTATTTTGACGGAGAAAGAATAGAAAGAATTACCCCGACGCATGCAGACAAACTGACATTTTATTCTACGCACATTGCAGATGTAGCTAAATCACCCAAGAAAAGATTCCCATCTGAACATCTGAGCTGGACACTGCTCAGTGCAGCTCACTGTCAGCGCGTACGTACGGTGCACAGCAAGCTGAAGTTGTAGAGATTGGCTTGGAGCGTGTTGCAGAACCAGAGCGCATGCGGGAAGATTCCTCCCACTGAAGCGAGTGTTTTCCAAACCCAGTCTCTCAGAGAGACTTGTCACTTAGAAAATGTTCCCTGATTATGAAACTTTGGCTGAATAGTGCTTGTTCCTGTCTCCAATGTGGCGACACATCCAGGAGCCGTCTGAGGAGAAGCCCAGAATCTCACATCCTCTTCAGCTCAGAAAGCGCCTGTGATTACGCACAAGCGTGACCCATCAACCCGGTCTCACATTAAGACTGGGTTGGGCCTGTTCAGGTTTATGCAGACAATCTTTACATAGAATTGACTTACAGATATAAAATTAATTCAGTAAAATATAAAGCATTTTATTTAAATATCCATTCATTATTTTACAAGCACAGAGAGCCGCATCAGATGGATGGAAGAGCCGCGGGTTGTGATATGTTTTCTCCAGGACTAGAGAGGACGCAAACTCAATACATCTCTTTTATTGTGAGGTAATAATTTCTCCCGAGTTTTGCGGTTGCGGGCGGGAGTAGACATGCACGCTGCAGGTGCGGGCGGGAGTGTAACACACGTTGCGGGCGGTAATGGTCAGAAATTCAGCGGGAGCGGGAAGAAGAAAAGTCCCGCGCAGGGCTCTACTGCTGCGTTTCAGTCAGGGGTCGGCAATCCACGGCTCTGGAGCCGCATGCAGCTCTTCCATCCATCTGATGCGGCTTTCTGTGCTTGTAAAATAATGAATGGATATTTAAATAAAAAGCTTTATATTTTACTGCATTAATTTTACATCTGTATGCCAATTCTAAATGTAAAGATTGTCTGCGTGAACCTGAACAGGTCCAACCCGGTCTTACTGTGAGACCGGGTTGATGCGTCACGCTTGTGCGTAATCATATCGGCGCTTTGTGAGCTGAAGAGGATGTGAGATTCTGGGACTCTCCTCAGACGGCTCCTGGATGCGTTGCCACATTGGAGACAGGAACAAGCGCTATTCAGCCAAAGTTTCATTATCAGGGAACATTTTCTAAGTGATAAGTCTCTCTCAAACTCAATTTTTACTGTTTTTTGCTTAAAACACAAAGGGAATCCATCTGTCCTTCTTTAAGTCCTTTTACTAGTTAGTTCTTTAGCAAAGGATTAAATGTTTTCAGTCCATTAGCTGTCTGCTTGCCATCACTTCACCCAGGCTGTGTGTGTTCCTCACACCTGGCTTGTATCATCAAATTAAGGGTGTGGCTGACAGAGCAGCTCATGTAGCTTTTCAAAATAAAATGACAGGAAACACAACCAACCCAGTGTCTTACAAATGGGAAAATAAATAAATGAAGAAATAAACAGCAACAGCAGTTACAGGAACTATCCGGTCAACACAAGCCCTGCTTTTAACTGTTCTGTTTTCTTGTGAAAATTGTTGCAAAGAGATATAATTTAACTTGATTAACACCAGAGCCAGGCGCACTGCGCTGTTATCTCCATCACTGTAAATGAGGGAAAAACAAATTGAACGGATCCTTTTCTGATCTTCCCCACCTACAAAGTTTAATTACAACAATCAAATGTGACAGAGCCTGGATTTGTATTCTGAACAGTCTAAACATGTTTTAAAAAGAAACGTATGACAAAAATGGCACCTGCTCAGTAAAACCACCAACAGGGTGAAAAATATCACAATATTGTAGGCAGAGACGGGCTACAACTTCTGGATCCATTTTTTTTATAAATCGTTTTATTGATTATCATCTTATGAAAGATAACTCTGACGTACACGAGCGACCGGCACTGGCTGCTGTCACCTGTTGTGATTGGTTAAAGAAGCTCTCTGCTGTCTGAGGGTAGGCCCCGCTCACAACGCCGCGGCTGCTGTGGCTCCCAGTGTTTTCTTTACTGTGGGAAACGGGTAATAATGGCTCTTTGATGGGAACAGGTTGCCGACCCCTGATTTAAGCTAACAAAATAAAACTTAGAGATTTAAATATTACTACAATTGATAAGGATGCTCTGATTCAGTGATTTTAAAAAGGAACAGAATCAGGTGGATAAAGATCTAATTTAGCCTTATAAAACAACATATATGTTTACAATTCATTGTGTGATAGACATTATCAAGTGAAAAAAATAATGGCTTAGTTTTAATTTTAACAAGTTCCTTTGCATCAAATTCAAGTTTATTATATATTATTATAAATTATTATATTTTATATAGAGCCAAATCACAACAACAGTTGTCTCAAAGCATTTCCCAAAGAAAAACAGTCCAACTAAGTTCATGTAATTATGCTGTTACACCCCTCTGTGGGCTCAGCTAGGAAGGAGAGGGGAATAAACATAAGATGGACCAGTATAACAAAAAGTGATGCTCGTTGGGGAGAAAAAGGCTTGACCAAGCAAAACCAAACTCAAAGTGTCCTTGTGTTTTCAAAGGTTTTATTACAAAAAAAAGGAACCAAAAGAAGGGCCAAAAAACCCTTTTCTAGAAGTTATCTAAGCTAAGTTTAAATGAATAACTGAAAATGTCCAGAGGACCAACCACTCTAAATCCTAAATAAATCTCCTTTATTTAAAAAGGGAATGAAACTCAAAAGGGGAAAAATCCCACCCTTCAATTAAATAAGGTTTGTCTAAAAGACAAAACCAAATACTAAATTAACTAAAGTTGCCAAAACAGCTTAAATAGCTCAGGAAAACCGGGACTGCAAAAGGGGAAGAATCCCCACCTGGTAAGTTATCCACAAGGTGGTCTAGCAGACACACCAAAAACCAAAGATTTACCAGTTAACTCAAAATAATGTCCCAAACACTCAAAATGCTCTAAATGCTCTAAAGTCACAAAGACAAGCTGGTTTACACCACAAAACTCAGGTAACCACCAACGGGGAGAGAACACACGTTGCCTATGCAACCACAAACATTTCTCTCCCCTGATGAGCTCCAGCTGGCTGCTTTTAAAGAGCCGGCTGATGAGGTGCAAAGTCCCAGCTGGCCGTGACTGCTGCTATGGCGCTGTCCATGGTGCTGGAGTAAGGACAACATCCCAAGGAGTAGCTGTCCGTGGTGGTGCGCTGCTGCACAGGGAACGGTGCGCAGCACACCACTGGGCTCCAAAACGGCAGCGGCCGTAACATCCCCACCCTTAAAAGAAAAAAGGGGGGGTGAGACAAAGAATCAAAACCATACCTAAAGTAAGACACCACCATCTTTTTTCTTAAAAACCAAGATACATTAAAACTTTATCAGTAACCTCCTTTTCACACAACCAGGGCATCCCGCTAACTGCCTATGGGGAAAGCTTCTCTAGCTCAACCCTTGCTCTTCATGCGGGTTAAGGCGGGCAGATTAAGCACATGTGTGTGTACACATACAAACCAGCGACAACGAGGGGCGGCCCATTGGCAAGCCCGTCCCCCATCACCCTGGGGTGCTCCCGAGATGTCTGCAGGACACAGACAACACTAGCCTCTTGCCGCAGCCCTAGAGAAAACAACAAACGGCAACACCCTCAAGAGGGTGAAGCCATTGTGCCTACAAGGGGCCCTGGAAGGAGGAGTTAAACAAAATGCATGCATCTGGTACATTCGTAGTGGTTATTGGACGTTACAGGTTACCATAACTTCTTGACAACCGAGCGGTTCCATCCGGCTTCCTCTCCACCAGACAGGGTGAACTCCAGGGGCTCCTCAGCACGATGCGCTAACATCTGAGTGGGCACATCAACAAACAGACTTTCCTAGAAAAGGTAGACATACTCCTGTACTTTTCTGTCAGGCGGATCAGAAAAAAGAAATCTCTCTTTTAGAGCTTTCAGGGGACCACGAGAAGTGTGTCCAAACACAAGCTGGGCAGGACTAAAACCAAGAGAATCCTGCACAGCGTCACGAGCAGCAAACACAAAGGGCAATCCTTCTTCCCACGTTTTGTTTTTACTTAAGCAATACTTGGTCAGCATTTCCTTTAAAGTTTGGTGCCATCTTTCCAAAGCTCCCTGACTCTGAGGATGATACGCGGATGACATGACAT